ACGGGAAAAATACAGGATACGGACGATACAGAAGAGAAGGGGACAGAAGAGACAGGAGACCGTTTGTTGAGTGTTTGATTGTGCGAGAGACAGTCTCCTGTTGCTTAGTGGGTATGGTCATTCGTTCGTCATGTGCGGTTCAAATGATTTGCTTGTTCGTTTGTTGTAGTTTAGTTTGTTTGTTGACTGTTTGTTGATGCGAGAAACAAACAAATGCAGTTCTTCCGTTGCTGAGTGACAAACAAATCTAGTTCTTCCGTTACTGAGAGACAAGCAAATATAGTTCGTCCGTTGACGAGAGACAAACAAATCTCGTTCTTCCGTTACTGAGAGACAAACGAATATAGTTCTTCCGTTAACCATATACGTTTTATTCTTCTTCTGCATAGCATCATATGTATCCATTATGTTATGGGTTGGGGTGTCTCTACAGCTCATTGGTTTGTTCTGCTTAGGGCGGCTCTGCTGGTACCCATTCAGCCTCCATGTTCTATGGAGCACGCCAACCGGCTCCTCAGTGTCCAGTGGCGCGGCAACGCACGGCGTTACAAGATGGAATTTGCATCCCATCTCTACAGGCCCTGCACCACTGTCGAGAAGTTTCTACAACGCTTCCTCGCGAATCTTTCCCGTCCCGTTCTGCAGCTTCTCATCGACCACGGCCATAATACCAATGATAGGTGGGAACAGGTGGCAGACATCGCCATGGACATAATGGGTCGTGGTTGTTCCTTGATCCACGAATTGTGCCGTATGGTCGATTAAACTCGCGAAGGCCAACGCGACGTGCTCTTGCAGGAAGGGGCGTCGGCGTGAGGTTCTGCTACTAACGCGAGCCATAACCACCCCCGCGGCCGCCACCGAACAGTGGAAGTGTCTGCGAGTGCGTATTGATGTACATTGAGTATAACATTGGTGAGTACACTAAACATCCTGTATGTAGTGAGCATTGGTATGACTATAGGAGAGCCTGACATGGGCCTTGGTGCAAAAGGTATTGCAGCATGCTATGCCTTCCCCTCTCCCAGCCCCAAATGCCGCAGTGCCTGCTCTAGTGGGGTTGCGGACGAGAACAATTTTGGAGAAAAAACTGAGGGAACTAATTTCCTTTAACCTTTGTTAGCTTGATATGTTGTTGTTTCAGTATGATAGTTATTGCCTGCCAGCACGCTATACTCAGCTGTGGGGTTCTATGGATGCGGCCCACAGTAGCCCTTCAGGGATACAACCTAGTAGTACGTAAAGCTAACAGCAAATATTTGTACTAAAGAGAAATACTCTAAGTTGTCTTGACCAGATCTCAGCATAGCATGGGAGGGACTGAGGGTTCTCCCCACATCTCATCAGTTTACGGGGCCCGCAGTACCTCTNTCAGCATAGCATGGGAGGGACTGAGGGTTCTCCCCACATCTCATCAGTTTACGGGGCCCGCAGTACCTCTAGTGTTTTGGATTCTCATCACCCCATCGTGTGAAGGAACTTCAATCCCTACTATGCCTCACAATTGTGGTTTTCATCTGCGTTTGTGTTGTCGTTGGGGGCGCAAGACACAGAGTTGCTGGCAGAGACTAGTTTATCTACTAACGTGAGTGGGATCAACTTCCGAGGGCACAAGATCTCTAAGGCCCCAGACTCCCCTTAGACTGGCCCATCTGGAGGGGAGTTTCTCACATCTTCGTAGTATTGGCGCGTCTTGCCAGCTGGATGCCTCAATTGGTGGCTCTTCCTGCTCTGCATTATTAGACTCCGGTGTGGCCTGTTGATTCATCAGTGAGGGTTGTGTCCAACGCTTCAACCACATCGAGGTGCGCTTGGCCACTCCCTATAAGTCCTCTCTGACCGACGTTCGCCCTGCCGTAGTTGAGCGCGCTATTCCCCACTTGCCCTGCTCCTGCACCATCACCCAAGCTCCCATATTGTGACTCTCGCGCGGTGATCGTCGAATGGTCTACTTGGGCAACAGCAATGCTAGAGTAGACCTTCTTCGACGAATGGTGAATTTACCTGAGGCAGCGCAAGCTCATCCTGAATTTTTGGGCGTTCTCAAGGAGTTCCGAACAGTGTTTCCTGACTCCCTTCCCGCCGGTCTCCTCTTGCACTTGGGACAGCTACCCGCCAAGTCGGTGCTTTACAGTGTGTCCCCCGAGCAGCTGGCACACTCCAAAAAGGAGATCGGCAAGCTAATTGAGACAGGCTGGGTGGGTCCCACTAGCTCACGCCTGCTCACCCACCCGAATTGTTGATAAAGACAATGATAGCTCTGGAAAAAAACAAATGCGTATAGTGGTTAATTGCAAAGACTTGAATGCCTTGACTGTGACTGCCGATTTCTCCCTCGCTCACATCCCCACAATAGTAAAAATGNCAAAGACTTGAATGCCTTGACTGTGACTGCCGATTTCTCCCTCGCTCACATCCCCACAATAGTAAAAATGCTTGATGGTGTCAAATACTTCTCCACCCCCGATCTGGATTCTGGCTTTCATCGGATCCTCATGGCAACGGCGGATCGCTAGAAAGCAGCGTTCCGTTCCATCCTGTTGCTCTTTGAGAATAGAGTCATGCCATTCGGCCTCCAGAGGGCGCCAGTCACCTTCCAGGTGAACATTAATGCTTACTTCCAACCGTGGCTGGGTCGGGGCGTTACCGCGTACCTCGACGATGTCTTGATCTATGCGTCCAACCTCCAGTCACAGTTAGACCTCTTACGCAAAGTACTGGACGTCTTCTTACGCAATCAGTTCTTTCCTGGATTCGGCAAATCTCGCTTAGGGCAGACGGCGTTTGTCTAGTTGGGATTCTCCATTGGAGCGGAAGGCATAAAACCTGTGCCGGATAAATTCCAGGCTGTTCAACTCTGTCCAAAGACCCTCTAGAACGTCACCCAGGTCCTTCAATTCCTCGGCACTGTGAAAAACTGTCGTAGGCTTATGGGTCCCGAATTTGCAGTATTGGCTAAGTCCCTCCTCGACCTCACCCGTTCCAAAACTCCGTTCGTCTGCCAGCATGTGTACACCCAAGCTGTCCATGCCCTTCAGCAGCGGCATATCGACTTTACCACTCTGTATCTCCCTGACAGCTCCAAAACCTACCAACTGTTTACCGATGCATCTGGTTTTGCAACCGGAGCTAGGTTAGAACAGGAAGCAAGCCCATCGGCATCCTCAATCGGGCCCTTACAGAAATGGAAGTGCGTTACTCAATCTCTGACCAGGAAGTCTTGACCTTGGTCTCCGCGCTCGGCAAATGGAAGCGTCTGCTTCGCTCCGCCTGGGTCACTGCCTACGCAGACCGTCGAGCCTTGACACACATCCAGAAGCTCTCCAACAACAAGCCACCAGGGGGAAGAACAGCCAGATAGCTGGATGTTCTCGATGAGTTTTAGGATTTCACGTTCTGCTGCTACCTCCCTGGCCCGAGAAACAAGGTAGCAGATGCCATTTCCCTCCACCCGGCATTCCTGGGGGTGACGTTGGCGTTCGTGCAGTCCCGATCCTCACCTCCTTCTACCATATCCACAGCAGTTGGCTAATTCGGAGTGCGAAGGAATCTTGCGGGCTCTGGCGCTCGCGTACAACACGCAGTGGAACTCCTCGACGGAGCTGAGCCCCTTGGAGGTGATGATTGGAGAAAACCACATTACAGCAGCTGAATTGATGTGGTGGATTACCTCATCCCGTCTGTAACCCCGCCTATGATCAAGTTGTTCCAACGTCTATGCGACCTTGAGCAAGGCCTTATCCTCAGAGCCATGTGGCAGCAGAAATCTTTCGCTGACACCCATCGCCGAGATGTGGAGTTCCGACCGGGAGATAAAGTTTGGATTAGCAGCAGCAGTTTGCCCTCCCTGAACCGGCCCTATCATCGAGAAGATCGGTGTGGCAGCTTACTGATTGGCCCTCCCCTAGACTTATCCTCAGACTTATGAATGCCATGACGCTTTTCAAGTGTCGCAGCTGATCCCCGAGAAGCCACGAGACCCGACGATGCTGTCGCTTGGGGGAGCCGCTGGCTGGCTCTCTGTCAGGGACACTCAGGGGAATTTCGGTGGCTCCTACGAGGTTAACTGCATTATGGATAAGCTGGACGACGTGCGACCTTACAACACCTGCTCAAATGGCGCGGCGTCCCTGAAGATAGCGCAAAGTGGGGACCATCCGAGCACCTTCACGGCTGCCCAGCATTACTCCGCGCATGCAGGCGTCGTCACGCTCGGGCGGTCTGGCGCTTGCGCTCCTCCAAGACTGCCACCCTGTATGCGCCGCCTCGATAGAGGCGCCTTCGCAGCCCTTGCCCCCGCCCCTCCCTTCCCCGCATCGGCTAGAGGCTTTACGCTCGTAGCTGCTCCACTCGTTTCCGCAACAAAGGTGAATATTGTAGTGAAGGCAACTACAACTGGATTGTTCTATTATGTACGCTAGATTCCCCGTTCTCCCCCCTAGGAAGAAATTCACACCTCCTAATTAGGAACGCGATTTACCGAGCATAACCTTGGTAATAGGAATAAGCAGTCAACAACTGGAGCAACCGTGTACAGCTGGAGGCCAGCCACGGTGCAGCTGCTGCCGACTGGTTGCGGCGGACCTACGCGGCCTCAGGAGCCGATCACGGAGGTCCCTTTTTAGGGTGTGGGCTACAAGGCTCATCAAGTATTCTATTTTTGGTTGCTCCATGAACTTAAACCCTTTCGCGTCATGACCTTTAATACACCCCACCTTTTGTTTCGCTGTCTATTGCCCCATCGGGTCTTCCGTCCCGACGCGGCTTGCTATCCTATGAAACCCCAATGGGGTGTCGGGTCTAAACCGTTCTCGTCTAAATCACAGCGTTGAGGGCTCTATTGCCACTGTTCAAACTGTTTTGCGTGTTTTATAATGAGAAGGTTCCGGTTTTTGTTCTACCTGTAGGATATTTTACCCTACCTTGCCTGCCCTGCTGAACCTCAGCGCCCTATACCAGGCCATTAGACCGCTGCCCAGGGGTCTCCTCTTCTTTTATCTCCTTTTTTCCCACTTTTGTTATATCCGTAGTTCATATTTATTTTCGTTTTATTTCCTTTCTGTCTGCTTAGTTTTTTTTTGCCGCCTCTATGCATTTTCGCTGTCTCCTGTGCTCTTGGGCCGGTGAGAGCACCTCCTTCTGCTCATACGCACAAAACACAAGAGACAACTGCGATGACACAGAGAAAGATGTAAACAAATAAACATAAAAAACGGAACAAGCAAAACAAAGGACAGAAGAGACAAAGAAAACAGACGAGGCAAGCAACCAGAAGCAGCATCGATGTCTGTCCCTCCTGTATCTCTCGGGCGGCATGGTGAACCTGCTGCAGCCGATTCGCTTAGTGCGTCTTTTTTGTATTCTCCTTCATCAGCTGATGGAAACAAAAGACAAGAAGCCAGATACGGGGGCCTGGAGAGGAGGAGGAGGCGCAGCGGGCGTTTAGGCGTCACNGGGGAAATGCAAAAGAAAAAGAAAAAGGAGACAGAGAAGGAGAAGGGGCAGGAGACGGAATCAGCCTCGTTCAAGATTTGTGCGGGGAGGAGACAGAAGAAATACAACAAGATACACCAGCAGTAAGGAAACGCAGACGCAGGAAACCGAGACGAGACCCAGATTTTATTTTCTTTTGGGACGATGACGTAGTGGACGAAGAAGGAGAAGGGGATGAAGAAGAAGGAGAAAATGATAATTCTCGTGGCAGTGATGAGGATTATGCGCCGGCAGCGAAGAAGACAAGGCAAGAGGAGTTAAGGGAGGAGCACGTAGATACATTTTCCCCCATAACTCCTCCTTTTGTTGCTGGAGCTCATGCTGCAGCAGCACCGGCAGCAAAATCACCAACAGCAGCAGCAGAACCAACAGCGGCAGCAGCACCAACAGCAGCTGCAGCAACAACACCACCAGCGGCACCAACAGCAGCTCCAGCACCAACAGCAGCAGCACAACCAACAGCGGCAGCACCACCACCAACAGTGGCAGCGGCGCCAGCAGCAGCAGCACCAAAAGCAACTGCATCACCAACAGCAGCAGCACCAACAGCAGCTGCAGCAACAAGAGCAGGAGCAGAACCAACAGCAGCTCCAGCACCAATAGCAGCAGCACCAACAGCAGCAGCACAACCAACGGCAGCTCCAGAACCAACAGGGGCAGCGCCAACAGCAGCAGCACCACCACCCACAGCAGCTCCAGCGCCAACAGCAGCAGCACTACCACCAACAGTAGCAGGGACGGCAGCGGCAGCTGCACCAACAGCAGCAGCAGCACCGCCAACAGCAGAAGCGGCGCCAGCAGCAGCACCACCAACGGCAGCAGCAGAACCAACAGCGGCAGCGCCAACAGCAGCAGCAGAACCAGCCGCAGCACCGCCAGTACCAACGACAGGAGCGGCGCCAACAGTAGCAGCCCAAACAGCAGCAGCAGCAGCATCACCACCAACAGCAGCAGCATCTCCAAGAGCAAGCGAAGGAGAAGATACGGCGGAGATACTGCGACAGCACATATTGCAGTACGTTGAGGAGACTTCAGCAGAAGATTATTGGGATCTAGGAGTAAGCGAAGATTTAGAGTACGCTAGGTTAGTAGAATTACTAACAGACGAACAGAATCCCGGAGAACAAGGAGAGGAAGATACACTTCCTTCAGATTCTGGGGATGAGGGTCCTTCTACTGGCCTT